CCCTCTTTCTCATTCCCTCTCTTTCCTTCGTGTCTTGTTTTTATATCATTCTCTTTTCTTTTTTTATATTTCCTTCGTCCTTTCTCATTTACCTACTTTTTACTTCCGTCATTATTTCACCACTATTTAATTATATTTCTTTTATTATTTCTCTCTCCCTTCTTTCGCTCTCTTTTCATTCATCCGCTGTCTTTTCCTCTCCTTCAATTCCTTTTCTTTGTTCCTATTTCGCCCTTCGTTACTGGACCGCAGTTAATTTAATTATACAGAGTGTCCCACAAGCGCTTGCCATATTTTGCAGTAACGTAGAAAATCCTTACGATCTTCTCTAAAATATTTCTTCCATTTTAACTTAACTCTTATGGTCGACTTTGGTCCTCGTGTGTTTGGCGGATTCTAACGTATGAAAACACAAAATTGTACGATCCTAGTAAGCAAATTTTATTATCTTACAAGGAGTGCTCGAAATTGCTTCAACGTTTATGGACGCTTCATCTGAGCGTAAAAACAATATCGCCTGTGTTTGATCTCGTGTGTATTCATCATTTCACATGGATTCGTAACAAGGACTTTGCTCCATGGAGTTGTTAAGTAATTAGAATTAAGTCTATTAAACGTTTCTGAAGTTATAGATTGTGTTCATGTTGAATCAACTGACTTCTAAATTTTCATGTTTCTTTTCTGTGTGTTGGATAATGAGGATAGTTCCTTTCCAACATGCAAGTCACTCATTGTACCCGACTTTGTTATTTTTACAATCAACTTGATTCAGCACTTTGGATGTGAATCCATTTCACTGTATATTCCGAGGGAGCATAGCGTATTGTGGAACTGTGGGAGGGGGGCATATATTGCACATAAATTCTAGTAACTATCGAGTTAGCTAGCAGAGGTTCGTAGGCAAGTACAGCTCGGGGGTCCCCCCCCCCATATCCCCTCCCCGAAGTTCTTGTTAATGAACTGCGCATAGGAGAGCAGAAAACGTTGGCCAGCCGTAAACTGTATTTTGTGTGAAGGAATCCGGACTGGCCTAATCAATTTGTAATTTGGGTACAGCGCAGCTGAACGCTCCTCGGAAACCAGTGATCCGATGAATTATAGTCTGTCCTCGCTTTACGTTACGAAATTTTTCGCCCATACGAACTTTTATATTGAATCGCATACCTTGCGCTTGGCTCGTCATCCGAACTTCAAATCACTCATCCGAAATCTTCAGAACAAAATCAAGCACGTGTTGAAAAGGAAATTAATGCAAGATGAATATTTGTGTTCCCATATTTGCTTACAGAACGTATTTCTGTAAAAAAAAAATTTAATTTTTATAGCATGTGTAAAGTACTTGTATGTTTCGTTTAAGTAAATAGAGTATATTTATAATTTATTTTAATTACTGCTGTTACAGAACATAGTTGTTCTGTGTTTCTGCCAGTTGCTATCACTGATGACATATACACAGCTGCGTTTAGCAGTTCGTTTTGTACTGATTTCTAGGTTTTGTGGGCGGTTGCCAGAAAGAACGCTTGTCAATAATGCCGCAAGCGAATGCTACGATATTTAATTAGATTGTAATTAGAGGCCGTTTGCCAATAGCACTCCTTGTGTGGTCCTGTGTTCCCAGACATCATATAGTTACAATGTTCCATCAACAACAAAAATTAAATGTCCCGAAGCATGAATTCCTAAAGCAGTGGAAATATTCGACAACTCTGACAGTTGTAAGCTCAATAAGTCGAGGGATCTTTCAAGCTTTGTTGTGTGCTGTCATGTGACGTCATACATTGAACGTCGCACCTTTGCGTCGTATTTGGTAGATGTCGGGTTTAAATCTAGGCCTAAAGGCCGGTTATCCTTACATATTTTTCATGTTTTTCCTCTGTCCTTCCATACAATTTTCGATAATCTTAAATCAAACCACAACCGCTTCATTTTATGTCGCTTTTTAATTCATCCCATTTTCTACGATGTTCGCTAGCTGTTGAAGGTGTCGTAAAATAAACCGTATATTAAATTAGAACGCTGGCCTTGTAATCCTGGTGTCTTGTGTTGGTCAAGGCCGTGGTCTAGGCAACACGGGGTTTTCCTCCGTGGCATCCCCACAATTACTCCATTCACACACAGAAGAAGGCAATGTCAAACCACTTCTGGATCATCTGCCAAGAACGTATATGAACAGGTCCCAGTCCGAGAAAAGGATGGAAGGATCCTGTTCATATGGACCTGTCGTCAGACAGAACACTAAATAATAATAATTAATCTTACTTTATAAATAACCTCAGTAGTTGCATAAATGCCGTGAAGTAACCAACGACACAAATGCATATAAGGTGGATAAAGAAATATTAACATTTTAATATCCTAAACTGTTGTAGGTTTGCATTAAACGTTTTAGGCTTATTCAATTAAATAACTCTGATTCTATGCAAATCTCAGGATACGTGTAGTTCATCCATAACAGTCACTGTACTCCGGAATGGACGGTCTGGTTTCGATTCCCTGCGGGGGCAGTGGGATTTATCTCAGTAACCGCATGCAGACCGACTCTGGGGCTCAAATTTATTCCTACCCGGTCAGTATTGGGTGTTCTTCTCCCTAGGTAAGACGGACTGCGCGTGAGGCTGACTGTTCATGATCAAGACTGCAGCCCCGTCACGTTTTTATGGTGTGGTGCATAATGAATACTTTACGTTATATATATGATTTCCTTCAAAAATGCTTTCCGAATAAAATATTGTTTCATAAAATGTGTGTATTATTAAGACGTACAACGTTTATTTAATATGCTTTCCGATGTGTTTAATGCAAAGAGCGTGTGAGAAACAACTTCTGAGGGGGGGGGGGTTTATGTATGTGTAGTTTACTAGAATTTACCTTTGACTCTTGTTTTTCCTACCGCACTGGGACTTTTTTTTAAAAAAAAGGCTACCATGGCAAAATCAAATAATTTGTTAGGTTATAGTTATAAATAAACACATACAGCTCTTTCATTACGGGATCTGTGTTTTGAGCAGCGAGTTCTGTGACCTTAATCAAACGCTGAATAATTAATATTCTACCCGTCGTTTTCACGAATCAACCAAAGTACTAAGAGTGATTTTTTTTGCTAATTTGAATTTAATTTTAGTACCGGTCCGCTACTTCCAACGAAACTCACTTCGAGCTTTGTATATTTCCTCAAACATTGGTTCAGCAATATTTTAGACTACTTTATTTTATAATGAAAGGTAGACGCACAATTGTATTGTGCCTGTATTCGATCGTATGCATGTAACTTCGATGGGGAACCGTGACGCAAACAAAATATTATATTGGGAACAA